CCGCCTTGTGCCCCAATTCTACGCGAAGCCTGCCTCCTGGCTCAGTCTGTCCCGTCGAAAGCCTCTACGGGACTTGATGGGAGGAGTTCAGGCACCGGGGGATTCCCGCTCGGGGGAGAATGCTGGGCACACTCTCCGGGGCTGCTCCCACTAAGATGCTGACACACAGAGCAGCCAAGGAGAGGCGGTGCCTTGTGACAGCAGGAGGGGAAAAGACCACTTGGGCAGGTTGAATGGAGAGAGAACGCAAGAGCCATTAGCCCCGACTGGAACAAAATAAGGAGCTAATCTCAGGTTGTCATGGTGATGATTCTGTCCAGTTCCACACAGTGTTCAAAACTCGTGAGACCAGGGGCGCCAAGGGGAGTCAAACAAAGGCTCAGTCCTCTCTTTGAGAAGCTGCCTGAGGATGCCTACGCATTGTTAGAACAAGCCCCTCATTTCCGCATGCGACACGGGTAAAAAAACGATTCAATTTACTGAAATTTACTTTACAGCCAATGTTACTGATCCATAAAATGAGGACCAGCTGTGAATTCCGTGCTGGGGGAGTGGAGGAAGGACTAAAGATGCAGCCCTCCCCTCTGGAAGTCAGTGGTTCTCAAAGTGCAGACCCCAGAGCAGGAGCGCCACTGGGAGCTTGCCAGAGATCCAGACACTCAGGCCCCGTCAAATCCACTGAGTCAGAAACTGGGGCTGGGCCCGGTAATCTGGGTTTTAACAAGCCTTCCAGGAGGTTCTGATACAGGCTTAAGTCTGAGAACTACGGACCAAAGAGAAACAGGTTTGGACAGAAACAGAACCCTTTGTCAGATCTGGGGAGCGAGTTCCACAGAGTGAGGGTTCCTACAGGTCCCACCCCCTCCCCACGCTGGGGGTCTGTTCGTTCTCAGAGCAGCTGGGAGGCACAGACAAGAAGCTGGTCTTGCTCTGAGGATGGGGAGCCTGGGCCCAGCCTTGCAGTGGTTCCCCCGCCCTCCTCCAGGCCTCTCTTCTGGTGAGGGGGTGGAGCTAGGGGCTAGGGTACACACTCTGCACCCTGGACAGGCCTCAGAGGCTGGGGCAGAATAGCAATGAGCAGGCTTTCTTGTCTCTCCTCCAAGCCACTTCCCCCCTGCCCCTGCCAAGGCCGCTTCAGGCCTCCCTCTTCCATCTTCTCCAGAGTATGGGGCGTGAGACCCCCAAGGAAGACCACACCTGACGCAGGGAAGGCCTCCAGACTGATGCAAGCCCGCAGTCCCACAAAGAGGACGTGCTGGCAGGACTCACCCTGGGCAGGCAGGCTGGCCGGGCTGAGCCGAGAGAACAAAAGTGGCCAGCCCAGCAGGCAGTGCCTGTGCCCTGTGTGGGTCTGGGGACGCTCCAGAGAGGAGGCGCAGGTTCCCACGCACAGGAGTCCTTTCTGCTTCTCTCTAGGCACAAGAGCACCGCAGCACAGAGGGCCCTCCCTGGCTGGGACAGCAGACCTGGGTCCTGTCCCAGAGCTGGCTCTGGCCCTTGGTGTGACTTGGCCAGCGACGCCCAACTCTGGCTTCAGCCTCTCCGTGTGTCCCATGATACAGCCGGACTTGGTGCTGTCTCAAGTTCTGTTTAGCATTCAGGAGTTTGGAACGAGGGACAAAACCACTAAATGTATCACCTCAACAACAGTCCCTATAAACATCTTTAAAACCCGCCAGGGACGTTGTGGACAGAACCACCCAGTCAGAAAGCTTGCTTTCACTCTCTGCTGTCTTACCTGTACTTTCTACCCCCTCCAGCTGCCTGCTGAGCTCCGGTGCCCCTCCCTAGCATATCTCTGTCCCTCGGCTTCCATTCTGAAGGCCCCTATATGCATTACGGTCCCACGTTCTCTTTGCACTGGAGGTCCCAGGATCAGTGAGGGATGTGGATTTGAGGGGATGCAGGTGCCGTCCTGGGAACCCCTCACCATCCCCCCAACCACACATACATGCCACTGACACACCTCCCCTCTAACAGATCAGTGTCTTCATTCCAATGCACTCACTTTATGGGATTTAAAAGATCATGGGGACATACAAGTAATATATATATATAAATACATAAAAAAATATATACAAGCATTGCTGTGAATACACACTCACAGTCACTGGAACAAGCTGACAGATTTTCTTTTTCAAGTGTGTTTCCGGGACACCGGCTGACCCCTGGCCAGCGTTCTGTGCATGGTGTATGTGCTTGGGACAGAAGGGGCAGGGGAGGTGCAGAGAAGGGGTACAGCAGAAGGGCTGGCCTCTCTCATTTCACCCCAAGCACAGATATTAATACCCTAATGCTGATTCTTGCTTATAGTCAGATTGGACTCTTGGCTCCCAGCCAGGTTTGCCTGGACGCTGGGGGCTGCTCTCTGGCCCAAGTTGACATAAGCACCCTGGTAGAGGCTGTTCTCTGGCCAACCCAGTGGCTCTCAAACTTGGATACACTTTAGAATCGTCGGGAGGCTTTTAACACGTACTCTCAACAAGTCCCCCTGTCCAAATGCCAATCATGCTGGTGTGGGGAGGGCCTGGCCATCAGCATCTTTAAATTCTCCCAGAAGCTCAGCAGGCCCCACCCCTGGCTTTGCCCTCACTCCACCCGGGCTGGACACCTAAGATCCCAGCTCATCATGTGAGTTGAATGAGTGCACGAGAGCGTGAGGGGATAAGTGAGCGAATGAATGAGCAGGTGGATTCTTCCACAGGCTTGGGGTCCTTTGACCAGGTTCAGGTTTGGGGGTGACCTGACTTAAAGGGCCCCCAAGGCAGAGCTAGAAGAGGGAGGTCCAGGCAGGGTCCTGGGGAAAGCTGGAGGCATGGCAGGTCAGGGGAAGCCACCACTGCCATCCCCTCCGACCTCCGACTCCAGTGGCGGCAGACGTGCAACACACAGAGACCTGCTCCCGGGCCCTCAGCCACACGTCCCTCTAGCCCATCCCCAGCGACTCCAATTCAGGGTTCCAGACCTAGGGTGGACTCACTCCCCTCCCCCACCCGCCTCTTGCTGCTGTGGTTCCCTCAGCCCAGAACGTTCTCCCCAGTCATCCATTCCTCAGCTCTCACCTGCCATCAAGTGCCTACTCCTCCCTAGGGCCTAACTCAGGGGGTCTTAGCCTAGTTTCTCGTCAGAATTGCCTGGGGAGCCTCTAAAAATCACGATGACTCCAATGGAGTGAGGTTCTGGTCTAACTGGTTTGGATTGTGTCCTGGGTACATTTTCCTCAAAGCTCCCTGGTGACTCTGACGTACAGCTAGGTCTGAGGACCAAGGACCTGATGTAAATGCCACCTTCTCCATGAATCCTTCCCCACAGAGAATTCCTTTCATCGTCCTCTCCTTAGCATGCCTGGGGGTGAGAGCCCCTCCCGGCAGCACTGGTCTGCCCCTCCTGGGCTGGTATCCATCCTTCCATCTGCCTCACTCATGCTCACACCTCTGCCTGGATGCCCCTGGGGGGAAGGCGGGGGTGGGGGGTGGGGTGGGGGTGGTTCTTGTCCTCTCCCTGCCCGGGGCTCCACAGGTGCAATTCACCTGCATGCCTGCTGGCCCAGTCCCAGCCCCACATCCCACCTCGACCCATCCCTACGGAACGCTTCCTACTACTCCATCCCAAGTATACCTGAGACCTACGAAGCAGGAACAATGGCCCCGGGTTGGGAGGGAGGGCACCTGGGTTCCAGGCCCACCTGAGCGTGATACTCCCCCTTCCCATGGTTCTAAAGAGTCACTGCCCTCCAGGCTCCACATTCCCATCCCCTAGACAAGAGGCCTGGACAAGATATTCTTTGAGTCTCCTGCAACTGTGCACCCATCTAGGCCCCCTGCCTCAGTTTCCCTGGCTGGTGAGGCCTCAAATCCACTTTTGGCCTCAGAGCTGAGCAACAGCTCACCTGGAGGGAAAGGCCAGCATGGCTGGGAGTGACTCCATTGCCAGTTAATGCTTGCTGAGCTGACTGGCTAGGGAGCCCAGCCCAGCGGGACGATTACATTTAACTGGGCTGCAGACTGATCAAGCATTTAAACAGATGGTGCTCAGAAGAGCTCCCTGTAAATGGGGAGGATCGGGGGGAAAAGTGGATCCCTCTAGGGTGGGTGGAGAACCCCACTCTCCAGTGACTGAGGCATGAGAGAATCTGGCGAGTCCTCCAGCGATGCCCCCTACCCCCAAATCCCCAACTTCCCACACAGACCCTCTCCCTGGCCCTGCTGGAGTCAGGAAGCTGAGGGTGCCCTTGCTCTATGGGCCTCAGCGTCCCATCTGCCCAGCAGGGGAGTTGGGAGGAAAGGGGTTACACAGGACCACTGGTTCTCAGCCAGGGCCATGCCACTCCCTTGGGACATCTAGAAAAGTGAGGCTTTGGGGACTGTCATTGAGATCAGGGGCTGTTAGGGGTATCTAATGGGACAGCTAAGGCCACTACATGTCCTGCGGTGCGTGGTACCATCCAGCACAAGGAAGCAGCATCCAGCCCCCCATGCTGGTAGCAGCCCCAGGAGAATAGCAGCACCAGACCCGCACAGGACTGGGGTTCCTGCTGGCTTGTTCTCTGCTTTCTGATGGAGTGAGCCGAGGAGATGGGAATGACCCCACACCTCATGCTCTGGGGAGACCAGGTGCTCTCTAGCTCGGCCACCAGCAACAGCTGTGTCCCTTCCACCAGCAGGCCCAGGCGGCCTGCTAATGAGCTCTCTGACAGCCACTGCTCAGCCCAGACACCAGCTCTATCCCAGCTCCCATGGGAGTGAAGGTGGCCACGTCCAGTCACCCGGAATAGCCCCTTCCAGAGGGAGGCATCCAGGGCAGGCCATCCCCAAGGAGGGCAACCCCAGTGTCACTGCCTAGAGCAGATCCAGGGCTCCATCACCCCAAAGGGCTTTCTGAAGGACCCAGGGACCTGCACCCTCCACTACTTTCTATAAGTTGGCCAGAGGCTGGGACATCACTTCTAAGGCTGGCCTGGATGTGCCGGGGACGGTGGCCCTCCCCGCCACCCTCCTCACCTGGGGAGGAGTCATTCAAGCCCATCAGCTCGTTGGCCCTCTGGACCTTCTCCAGGCACATGGCTTGTCCCTTCTTGAAGATGCAGTCAGAGTGCATGGCGGTAGCCTGCAGGAGGCACAGGGGATACATGGTGAGAAGGAACGGGGAGGTTCACCGACAGGCCCTGCTACCTAAACCTCCGGGTCAGTGGGAGAAGGGGAGCGACAGAAGCAGGAAGACGACAGTGACAGAGAGATTTCAGAGCCAGCGGGGACCCTGCCTCCACTTCGTCACAGACGCCATGAGGACTCTTCCCCTTCACCAACTCAGTGTGGGACCTGGGCAGATCCCACCTGCTTCCTGGGTCTCAGTTTCCATGTCTTATAATAACATTAGCAAGCACACACAGAGCACTGTACTAACTGAGTGCATTACTCTGTCATATGCACGCATATATATATCAAGAGTACTACAAAGCAGGCACTGTTTTTACCATTTCCCATTCTACAGATGTGAATCTTAAGCACAGAGACGTTACGAAACTTGCTCAGGGTCACACAGTGTAGTAGACTGTACAGCCAGGATTCAAACCCATGCAGTCCAGCTCCAGAGACCACGAGGCTACAAGTGCACTTTCGGGGAGCAAGCAGGGGGTGAGAGAGAGGAGGGGCTGAGAGAGCTCATCCTCTCTCTCTCCTCTGTGGGCCCGGGAGCTGCAGGTGAAGAACAGTGGTAGCATTCCATGGGGCTTAGTAGCCATTCTCATCTACTCCTGCCCCATGTGACAAAGGAGGGAACTGAGGCTCAGAGAAGTTTAGAAACTCCTGCCCAAGGTCACACGGCTGGTTAGTGGCAGATACTGGATTTAATTGTAGGACCAAGTAACTTCAAAACCCACGGATGCAATCACGACAGCTGCATCCTAGTGTTGTCACTTCAACTCAAAACTCCAGGGCAGGGATGGTTCCATAAGGGGATGCTGGCGAGTGTGGAGGCAGGCGCAAGGCACCCCAAGCTGCCGAGAGCAGCACTCAGGGATCCAGTCTAGCCCAGACTGTTCACAGATGTGCACAGAAAGGGATGAGCTGGTCTGTGGTCACACAGTAAGGCAGGGCAGAGGCAGGACTGGCATCCAGGGCTCTGAAGACAGCTGCATCCATGCTGGTCAGAATTCCCAGGTTGAGGGGCAGGGGCCAATGTCTGGGAACCCTGCACCCCAACCCTCTCGCTCAGAGACATGAGCAGAGAGCAGCCTTCTGAGCTCTAACCTGCCAGAGACTAGTGAGCTGGGGACCAGGATCACAAGTGCCTTCTGCAGCCTTGACATGGGCCCCTGCATACAGCTGACCAGGTTGTGTACTGCACAACTCTAAAGGCTGCCGCATATGTTACTATCATAATAGATTTGTAAATTATGTAACAATTTCTGGTCAAATCGGTACAGGGTCTTGAGGAAGGGGCACCCTTTTTAGTTCACACAAAAGTGCCAGATGGTCCAGGGGGGTGCTGGCAGAGATACCAGCCATGTGAATTGAGCTCGACTGATAGCACACAAAAGACACAGGTTATCTGGGGTGGGAGCTCAGGTGAGCCTGGAGTTCCAGCTGGTCATGGAGGGGAGGGTCCTGGGCCCTTACCATAGGCAGCAGCAGGAGGGCAGCCAGGGAGGCCTGTATGACGCTGGCCATGATGCTTCTCAGCCCAGAAGGAGGCTCAGGCCAGTGCTGCCCGCCTCTCACTCACAGCAGCTGCTGTTCAGCCCCAGGTATCTACAGGCTAGAAAGAAAGGAAAGGCATGAATCCTGCAGGTCCAGCGGCATAAGAGGGGCGGCGACAGCCCCCCACCCCTACCTGCAGCAAAGCCTCCAAGGGTAACCCCCCTCCATGCCTTTGTGCTGTTCTTTATTCTTCCATCCCACGAGCATCTGCCGAGTGCCTACTCACTACCAGGCACTGGTGATACAGCAGGGAACACGCTGGCTCGGGCGCCTACAAGAACGGTCTGAATGGCTTTCTCCTCTGCAGCAGGTGACTGTGTCCCCAGATCTCCCTCCACAGGAAGAGAGTTTTAGCTGGCACACGCGTGCCTGCCTGGAGAGGACATTTCCAGGTCCCTCTTGCTCTCAGGTGCGGGCATATGATGAATTTCCCACCTATGGAAGGTGGGTGACAGTGACACGTGCCACCTATGCACCACCTGTCCCTAAGGCATCACGTGCTCAGCCCTGCTGCTCTTTACCCTCCCCGATGCCAGACCCAGGCTGGACAGAGCAGCCAGGACAACACCGAGAGGCAGGGAGCGACACACCGAGAGGAGCCGGGATGACTGAGTGCACCCGCGGCGCTGAGCCACCCTGCCAGCCTGACGGCCTACCTAGCTTCAGGCTGCTACGAGCCCTCCTCTCTAACTCACTCACTCATACAGGGCCGCTTTGTTCCAGCAGCCAAGCCCGGTCCCCAACAAACACAGCCTCCTTTCACCCTGCCTCAGCCCACTTGGCCTCCAGGATAAAGCCTTTAGCAATGCAACAGACAAAAAGAGTGACTACCGAGAAGGATGTGCCCGGACCTCGAGGACCTTCCCCCAGAGCTCCTGTGGCTCTGAGGCCCGAGTCGCTACTAAGGACCAGAAAGGGCACGGGCAGTCGAGTGAGGAGCCTGAGGGAGCCCCAGCACATGCCCAGAGGAAGAGTCCGGTCGGTTTCTAAAACTGATCATTAACACATATTCCCTGCAAGCCAGCAATTCTGCATCTGGGTGTCTATCCTAGAGAGATATTTGTGCTTATACAGAAAGAAGCATATGCAAGGATATTCACTGCAACATCATTTAAAATAGTATCAACAGCAAAAAATGCGGCAGCCAACCATCCACCGAGCAGGCACTGTTAATAGGCCCCTGCATAGCCATACAATGAAATACTATACAATAATTAAAATTTTTTGTTACTATTATTATTAGAAAGATTGAGTAGGCCCATGTCAGGGCCACCACTAACCCACAGGTGCCTGGTTTAAGAGGCCCATGGGGGCTGTGTCCCAACCATGAGTCCTTACACACCCCCCATCAATGGGCGGAGTAGCCAGTACCCTGGGGCCCTTTGTGCCCCCGGTGGCTGCCTCCCACGCCTCCCTTCCTCTCTCCTTGCCTCAAAAAGCTCCCCTTGGCCTCTCCAAGCTCAATCTGGTGACAAACGAGCACCCGAAAAGAAGAAAACCAGCCGCAGGAAGGTTCAAGGAAAAAGGGGTCCGTTTTATCTACCCACTGTTCTGCCTTTTTGGCGCCCACTTGGAAATACTGAGGGAGGCTTTGGTATCCCCAAGAGATGCTCTGAGAAGCCCAGGGGAGCCATGGGGATGCTGGCCCAGCCTCTCCCCGAGGGGTCAGGAAGGACTGGGCAGGCTGGGGAAGCAATGGCCTCAGCACCCCTTGGCACCCCAAGCACAGGCTTCAGCCTCTGTACCCACTCCCAGGACCTTCCATACACCTGGTGGCCACAGGCTGCCTCTGGCATGATGTGACACCAGTGGTCCGCAGGGGGATCGGTCATCTCCACTATCCCTGGGGAGACCAAGGCCCTGTCTGCAGGGAGCTGGTGTTCCCTCTACCAACCCGGCTGGAAGAGAGGAAGGCTGGGCCCACAGCTTCTCAGCAGATGCTAAAGACTGACAGCCTAGAGAAGCTACGAAGGCAGAAGGCCTCCGAGACCTGGACTGACTCTCCTGCACGTAGGACAACGTCAAGCCAAGATCTGGTGGGGTCTGGGGTCAGGGAGGCTTCCAGCCAGGACAATCCTGGGTACCCCCAGCACCTCCCTCGACACAGCCTGTGGCCTGGGCCTCGGTTCTGGCCTCAGCACAGTCAAGGCCTTTGCTTCTGCGGGTCTCAGCCTTCTTAGCCGAGAGGAAGGTGACTCACCACCTCAGCTCCCTCCTTGGCCTGCCTCACAGCCAGGCGGGCCCAGACAAAGCCAGAGGAGGGAAATGGGTGCATGGCCTGTGTCTCTAAGTGGACACACGGTGCTCCTTCCTGGAGGCCGTCGCCCTTGTACTCCCAGCAACGTGCCACCAGAAACACATCTCTTGGGAGAGACCTCTGTGCTGGAACACAATGCAAGCTTCCTGGTGGAAGAGGCCTGGGGAGAGGGAAGAGTGCTCAGGGCCCCCTGAGACGGCAACAGCACTACCCCCTTCCTTCGGGACTGGGTCCCCACACATGGAGACTCACGGCCTCCTCCCCCGAGCCCTGACCCGGGACACAAGATGAGCTCTGACCTCTTAACACAGTCCTCAACATGGGCTGCTCAGCACAACCACTGAGGAGTGTTTAAAAATACCCCTGCCCATGGGGCTTCCCCGGTGGCGCGGTGGTTGAGAGTCCGCCTGCCGATGCAGGGGACACGGGTTCGTGCCCCGGGAGGATCCCAC